AATCTTGAGCTCGGTCACCGAAATAGTACGATGAAGTGATGTAATTTCTCCGAAGAGAGTAAACAGTGATTACAGGAATCATTAGGATCAAAAATCCGAGAAATTTCCGTAACATTCCGTAAATTTGTCGTACATCTTCCAGTAATTTTTACTGGGCTTAACTTTCCAGTGAAAAATGAGAAGATATCGGGCATAACTCCTTAAGGTTGTTGTCGCGCGACAGTCTCTGTAAAAAGTTTATCCACTGTAAAACGGGCCAGTTTAGAACACAATCTTTTAGCAGTATATAGTCTCACTTGATTGATTGCATTGTGCATGGATAGCTAAAGCATAACTATATATTTTCCATATTAACTATTTTCAATTATATAAATTTATGAATTTCCGATAATTATATTCCGTAAACCAAACGGTCAATCGATTTGACTTTTTTTTCTGTATTTCCTCCCACGATGTATATTCCACGTTTTTTTTTATTTCTGAAACTGTCGAGCCGTTGATTTTTAAAAAATTCTAATCGGCAAAACTTCATTTAAACACGTGTTAAATCACTCGAATTTCAAAAATTTATATCTCAAGTTCAAAACGGTCAATTGCAAACGGAAAAGGCTCATTTTGTTGCTAATTTTTCAAACTATTCACCATAAAATTTTTAACGAAAACTGTCGAAAAAAAATTCTACGCGACAACAACCTTAATTGTAGGAAAAGACAGTTTCTTGCTGTTGACAGAGAGATATTGGAATTTCCAGTTAAATTTAACCCTGAAGTTCCAATGACTCCACCGCACTCAATACACCTGTTGCCGACATATTATCCCGGTCTACTAACCGACTCACCTGTCTTGGATAATGACAAACTGGCATGATCCAGACTCTCACATATCTTCTCACGCATTGCTCTTCTGCTTCCGCCATCTTGAGTCATATTCATTCTTCAAGTACGAGAGTTATCTCAGGGATATGGGTGGTGGAGACCATTCGATGGAGATAGAATGGGGGAAATAAAAAGAGGTGGAGTGAAGAGCCTGGGGTTTACAACATGGATCCGATGAATTATACAGCAAGGGGATCCTTTTATGGAAGTCATCTGCAGTCCTCTCCACGAAATGAGTGGATGGGACCTCTTCTCATCCAGGGGGAAACAAACATCACACAAAAAGAGACAAGAATTTCTGCAAATCCAACGTTTTACTTCAGACATCAATCCTCTAAAACCATTCTACATTTTTTTTTTCGCTTCTGGCTGCTATTTTTCATGTTTGGATGACTAACTTTCGGTTCGAGAGTCTTCGTGTGACTATTTAATTAATGTATATTCATTTTTTTATTCCACATTCAACAGTTTTTGAATCAGAACGATCGAATCAGTAGCGAGGTGGTGAACTAGGATCGGCGCGTTCTTCAAGGCCAGTTTTTAGCCAATATCTCGGGATTGAAGGCACATAGCAGAATCCTTATAGATACGTTTTTTGTAAAGAAGGACAAAAGCTATGGAAAAGGTATCTATGAAAAAATCGGTAGCTCCCTTCAATTTCGAGATATCGGCTGAAAGCTGGTCGCGAAAAAAATTCTCTTATCCGAGATTATCATTTAGCTACAGAATTTTCTGTTGGGGAATCGGAAAATTATGTTTTTTGAAAAAGATTTGTGTCTATGGATGAGACCAAAGAGCTTTTCGATGATTACTCAAAAAATAATTATTATAAATAATTCAATTTCATTCAACCAAGGATTATCAGATTCGTTTGAATACTTTTTTGAAGAAAACAATAAATTAGTTATGTGAATACTCTTATCGATAAAACCACCAGATATTATTCTGCCATTGACAAATCATGTATATAGATTCGACATGACAGTAATTACTTTTTGCCCCGCGGGATTGTTCATCAGTTTATTATTTCAATAAAAAGAAGAGCTTCATTCCTTAGAAATTGTTAATTCATCATAAGATCTCTATTTTATTTTATTTTTTATTTTTTATTCTATTTTGAATTTTATTTTTTATTTTATTCTGACTGTCACAGACTGAGACCAATATACTTCAAATTTTTTGTCACGTGACCGAAATTGATCAATGGCTCGGTGACGTGACCTTCGGTGATCGTCACATGACCGTTATGCAACATGTCATAAAATTATTTGGCATCTCATAATGCTGACTTTACCACCACAAGTTATCCCCGAAGTTGATGTTGCCGTGAATGAAAAAGGGAATAATCGTACATTATCGATAGACTTTTCACTGATATTGTTACGTATCCCCTTTCGAATTATAATCCCCGTTACGAATGATCTGAAGGAAGCCCTTGGTTATGATTGTCTTCTATCCTGAATCGTCTATCCCTTTTAAAAAAAAGCATGTAACGTTTTTTGTCAGCTTTTTTTGGCGCTATGCATATCAAAATATATCTATATAATATGATATATATATATAATATATACATATATAAATAATGTATATAATATATAATTTATAATATATATAATAATATATATATATATATAAGTTTTTAGACTTTTTTCTATCTTCTTTTTGAAATTCTATATATGTATATATTACATTGGAAATATATAAATATATATATATTCCAATGATAACACCCCATACGTGGACGATTTGGCGCGCATAGCGCGCCATATACGCTAGTATTCTAAAAAAAGTGATCCTTCTCAGGACACTTCTTGTATTTGAAGTATTAATAAACCACCTCATTTATTTATTAATAACTGTATTGTGTCTTTCTTCAACAATCTCTACAATATAATGAAGAGTTTAAATTTCAGGTTAGAATGAATAAATCGCAGAGTAGTGATTGACATCTCCTTTAGAAGAATATCCGCAATGGAATTCCTCGTGTTCGCATTGAAGGTGAGGAGTTTAGTCTGTAATTGTCTCCAGAAATAGAATCAGGCAGTTGACACTGCAAGACAGGATTGGAATGAGACGACACTATGGCGCCATTTCTGCTAGGCAGACGGCCAGACAGGTGCACGTTTCGTCGTTACCATCATCAAAGGAACATGAAGATGAAAATAAAAAAATAATTGAGAGGAGCTGGAAACCCACCCAAGGGTCTCCACTTTGTCTCTCCTTTTCCTCTTGGCTTTTGAGTCAAGTGTGGAGATAGCGTCGAGTGGGTAGAAAAAAAATATATTGGAATTCGTTTTTGTTCGAAAATGACTCGCAATGATCCTCACACTTGATACGTGAGACCACCAAATTCCCCTCGATTCCCTTTTGAAATAGTCCTCTACCTGGTGATATCATCATGATCGAAATACGATAGCTTCATTTCTCTTCAGGAGGTGAACCACTTTAGGATCAAACGATATTAGACTGTTAGATGATTAATCTACAAATTTCTAGTTTAAAAACAAAGATTCCCTCAGACCTACATTGAATTTATCTCCATTTTCAATAACAATAAATTTCTGTCTTATCGTATTTTATAAAATTTTAATTTCGTGCACAACACAACGGAAATTTATAAAAATAATTAAAATTTTGGTAATTATTTTCTGGGTTCGGAAAGTACCAAAAATTCAAGCGAATTTAATTAACTGAATTAATAATCAATTTAATTTTTAAATAAATTATACCCCGGAACATGCAGAATTCAGTGGCAACCTTCACTGGTAATCTATGGAAATTCTAATCGTGTATTTATATTAATGTTCAGATTAGGAAAATTACAGTACATCTATTAGATAAAATTAGATAAATTTACAGTACGAGTGAACGAAACTTTGTTCTCTGTGCAGTAATTTTCCTGTTCTCCGTAAGAATATTACATCTACACGCCGGAAAATTCCCGTGCAAGATATGTAAACGCGTATGCTATTGTGTAGTAATTTCACTGCAATTTTACTGCAATTTATACCGCAATAGCATGAAACTTCCATTACATTTGTAGTAATTCCACTCCAGATATTTTTAAAAGTGTAACTGTAAAAGGCGATTGATCCCTGATTATTCAATTAGTTTTAATTGTTTTGAATTCAGCTTCATGACTAAATGATAATTAATTAACATTTGAAATCGAATTTGAGATTTTATTTATTCAACTCATTGTGTTTTAATTATTATAGCTTAAATACTCTTCAGATAAAATCTAGACATCATAACAAATCAATGATTTCGAGTTTATGACCTTTTTATGAAAAATTTTCGCAATGATAAACAATTCATCATTTTCTGTTTTGAAAAATCATTGGCTGCTGCAATGATTGCATGAATTCTAACCAGAAAATGAAACAAAACAGATTTAATCAAATGCCGTTGAAACCAATTTATCGCTTTGGCCGTATTTACGTCCTCACAAATCAGAATCAATTGTTATATTTCAAACAATAGGCATGCACGAACAATAATCATATAATAGCATTATATGTATTTATGCCAGTTACAAACTTTCTGTTTGCGGAATATGAAATCTCGTCCTGTGAGTCCATGAAAAAAAACCGCAAAAAAAAAAATTCGATTGATTTCATGAGAATTGATTTTTCAATCGCCAGTATAAAATTTAAAACTCCATTTCCATTTGGTCTGTCATTTCGTGTGATTTTTTATAAACAATTTAACGCCTACATTTGTATGTGGAGATTGTTAAGATAAATTTTTGATAAATGTTGAAGTTCATGTGGTATTTAGGGATTATTTTTCCAACCGAAACGTCAATTATGATTAAGGGGATCCCCCTTCTAGCTAAAATCATCAATTATTTTAGTTTCTGATAAATTGTTAATCGGATTAACAATTATAATTATTTAAAAACTCGCGAGACTTACACGAACGTGCAATAATTTTCCTGCATTTTTCTAAAGTTTATTAATTTTTGGAAAATTCAGAAAAAACGCCGGAAAATTGTCGCACGTCCGTGAACCTTCAGGAGTCTTTATGTAATTATAAAATGTAATAATTGTGCATTTTTAATTAATTTTAAATTTAATTAATTAATTAATCCACTGGCAATTAATTCAACGACAAAATCACCGAAAAAAATATCATTAATTTATTAATTAATTCTGTTGAATTAAATGATTAATTATTTCATTGTCCTTATAAGGAATGGATTTGCCCTTCGAAACATTTGCAAAAGTTTTCAACTAGATGTTTTCAGTTCACAGAATCTACGATTCGCAAATCATAATTATGTCAATTCAAAGTTCGCCACTTCCTTCGTTAATTTACCTTACCGACAGCAAGTAAAGCCTTCAACTCGACGGTTGATAATCAAGGAAGCTGTAATCAACGTCGAAGAAGTTTGAATTTTTGAATAATCTAACCTGTCAATCTTCACTTTTTTCCCCCTTTCTTTTTCTTCGCCACAGGACTTCCAGTTGTCTTGAAAGCATCAAGGATCTCCTGCTGGATGACTTGAGTCTCCAGATCCTTCTTCTCCGTCTTCTTCTGGTACTTCTGTATCGCAGCAGGAGGAGAGAACTCAAACTCCATGTCATCGCCAACAGAACTGACATCACCCTCATCATCATCAGTCTTCCTGTCCTTCGTGACCTTGAACTGAAGAGGCTTCACGTCCTTGAGTACCTCAGGATGCTCCGAGTCCTCAGGTTTGACTGGATACATTGTGACGAAATAATCTCCGTTTTTCCTGTGGATGTGGAGAGTCGGAGGTAATTCGTGCTGATTTTCCACTTCTCGTTTCTTCCTCTGATTCCTGACAACGGACAAGAGACTCTTGGTCTTCGACATCTTGCCCTTCTTTCCTTTCACTGGAGTCACAGGTAGTTGATCGATTGAGTCAGGGTCCTTCTCCATTTTTGCCCTCACCAGAGCACTCCAGACTCCTCTGGAAATGGCACCTGGCTTCCATCCAACTCTGGGCCTAAAATTTCCAGACACATTGTTGATGTTCCACAACCAGCCCATGTTCCCTGGAACTCTCGCTCTGATCTCCACGCAACTTCTGTGGCCGAAACAACTCCGTTGACTCACACCCTCAACCATCCGCATCACTCTCTTGCCAACCTTGAAAGAAAATATTTTTTTAAACAAAAAAACACGAAAACACAAAGAATATTTTACACAATCTTATGTAAAATTTATGCACATCATTCAGTACAAAAACTCTATGGAAGAAATTGGATTCGTTCTCGTCTGATCAAATGTGCCGTAGAGTTTGCATTAAACAAAAACTGCGGTTGCTTTATGCCGATCTTTGATGAGGGGACACGCAACCAAGCCAATTGTGTGTAAAAAAATGACAATGATTATGCTCAATTGATAAAAGGTATGCACTACTATGCAGGAAATTTCTACCAAAAATAATATATGATATCATAATTTACGATTAATTTACCATATATTTCATTGCAAAATTTGCTGGGACGTTTTTTCCATCTAAATTAATAATAACAAAAATCCTAGTAATTGAAATCAAGGAAATGGTATCACTAGGAAGTGAATAAATCTTCGAAAAATAAAAGCCATACCTTAACATGACTGTAATTTCTCTCATAATTCTTCAGGTTCTTGGCTCTCTTCAAATTCAAATTCATATTCTTCCGTTTGGTGGACAACAAAGAAGCTCTCTTGATCTTAATGGTCTTAAGAGTCTCCTTGGACGACACATCCAAATCCGTTTTATTGATTTTCCTCCGAGAGTTGCAGACAGGCTCACCACAGGGTCCCATTTGTGGTTCCTTTATGGTCATGATTTCCTCCACAGTATTCTTCTCGTGATCCTCACGTTTTAATTTCTTCAACTCTGAGCCATTGATTTTGTTTCTGTCCTCGTGTCTCAACGGAGATCTCCAAGGTGCTCGAAGAATAGAACTGTCTTTTTTCATCATGGGCATACCCAGATAACTCTTCACTGGGTTTTTACTGTCTCCAACTGTTGGCAATGGTCTGTACCGAGGTCTTCCAAAAAAGGGACTCTCCATGGGATCCATAAGTCCCAGTCCTGCCATCCCTGGAACCTTTCCAATACCGTCCACGAACTTCTCAGCTTCTCTGAACGATTTTATCAAACAATCGATTCCGTAACATTTCTTCTTTATTTTCGATTGGTTTCCCATCTTCGTGTGACATCCACACCCCAGATGAGGCTCTCCCTCAGGAACAAATGATCTGCAAACACCAGAGAGAAGAGTCTGCATCGACTGAATCGGAATCATCACAGATCTTCCATCATTTCCTCCTCTCAATCTTTTATTTCTCATCTTTTTGGGCTTATCATAATTTTCCCATCGATTTCGAATACAATTCTCTTCATGTAATAATTCATCACCACAACATGATCTCTCCCCGCAGGGGAATTTTCTTGACGTCAAATATTTCGAAATATCGATATCTGATTTTTCACGAATTACTGAATTATTCGTTACTAGTTTTCCCTCAATTTCTGATAATCCTGGAGATTTTATGTCCTCTCCTAGAATCAGTGGAGGTATTTCCGGAGATATTCGACAGGAGGAACATTTAGTGAGATCCTCTGGTGTCTTATTCACGTCAATCCCCGATTTTGTCGGTTGAAATTTATTTTTTGAAGAAAATCTATCAAAAGATTTCATATTTTTTCTGGGATCTGGGGAAAGGGTCGCAGATTTCTCCTCAGCTCCTCCTCTTAATCTATTATTTTTTATATCTGGTGGTTTTCTATCACTTTTCCATTGATTTTCTAGGAAAATGTTTTGATTTGATAGCGGGAGGCCACTGCAGATGCCCCCAGGACATGATCTACCCCCACATGGGAATTTCCTTGGGGACAGATGATTTTTAATATCGAAATTCGATTTTTTAGGAATTAAGGAATCAGTCTTTTCTGTGTTCTCCACTTGCGCAATTACTGGAGCCTCTGGAACTCCTGGGGGTTGTAAGTCTTCTCCAAGACTCATCACAGATTTCCCCTGAGATTTTGGAGCTGGGGAACGTTCAATGAGATCCTCGCAAATCCTAGAAATCCCGATGATCGTCTTCGCCTCCGGTTTTTTATTTGGATCAATAACTCTTGATTTTGGTGTCCAGAATTTTTTCTTCAATTCTTCAGCACTCGGTGGCAGTTTGATACATGAAAATTCATCGAGGGAATTCGTGTTCTTGAAGAGAAAAGCTGTTTCGTTCGCGTGGAAGTGAGTGACGACGGATTCACCGAGGCAAGAAAATCTCAGGAAGACTTCAATGCTCCCAGACAATTTTCCGTTTTCATCCAATAAATTGTAAGTGTCTCGGACTGTGTAAGGCTCTGGTAATTTATGTGGATAGTTCATCGCTTTTTCAATCTCACAGAAACAACCGGAAATATGCAGCTCTGACTTACAGATCGGATCCACAGGCTCTCGGGGGCAGGGATCGGAGTTTGATCTGTAGATTTCGATAATCAAGGGATTGGCTTGCAATTTCTTCAGGAGCTCTTTCGGTTTCTTCGAGAAGATACAGGATTTTCCTGAGCCGAAGTCCACACCGTTGTCCTTCACTTTCTTGGAGAATTCCTCTTGATTTATCACAAATTCATCAAAGTCCAGGAATTTAAAGTGAACTGATAACGCCCCATGGTTTCTCGCGACGATCTCTGGTAATAAATTTAACTGATTCACTAAAAACTCTAGCATGTACAATTGTTCTCTACCGCCAATTTTTTGAGTGACCATTTTTAAGCTGTAGGTTTTAGTTTCAAGATTAAAATGGGAATAGAAGATGAAATTTGTTTGGAAGAATGTGAAGGAACTGGAGTTGAAATTTCAGAAGATTTAATTTTGATTGGTGTGAAGGAAGTTGTTTAAAAACACCTGAACGAATATTTGTTAGAACTACATTTACAAATACGAAATTCAGAGTTTTTAATATTTATTTTGCTCCTGACTGATCATATCCAATTCCTCTAGAAAACATCGACATTTTCCCTTTAATATTTTCACGGCGTCAAGAAATAACTGATGAGCAGGTTGAGCTCCCAACGTCTCGATGTTGACTAAAAAAAATGAAATGAATAAAAAATATTAACATTTGTTAATTACACATATTATTTACCTATTGTTTAAATTTTTTAATTTTCCACTTACATATGAAATGATCTGGAACTCTCGTGAGTTGAACAGCATCTTTTAAAGTGTCATGACGAAAAACATTCCTCGAACAGCTGTCATATCGGGGATTTTTTACTCTAGCTTCAACCTCACCATTTCGTTTCGCCACTAATTCAATTACACCAGGACTAAAACAAGTTTTCAATAGCTCTGCCTGGTCACCTTTTATTGGTCTCGTTAATTGAATGTCTGGTAATAATCTATAGGTCGCAGTGGCTAGAAAAAATTCATATAAAATAAATGAATCAATTAATTAATCAATTAATGGAAAGGATAATTTTTCATTGACCAGAATCTATATTTGAAAAGAAATTTGAAGATTTGAACACTTCAGATTAATTAATTAATACTTAATCATTTGAATAAAAAGTGAATAGATTTGTACTGTGAAATTTAAAAAATCGTGGTATTTTATTTATAAACGAAAGTTAATAGCATAAAGATATTTGAAAAATGATTAACTGAAGTGCCTAATCAAAATTTACGATTGTTTAAGGTCTCAGATTTTATGATATATGTTAAAGACATGTACAACTTTAGAAAAACTATTAAAATCATGGGAATTGATGACAGATGGGTTGAGAAATCCAGAGACATTCTTTTATACTGACCAACTGGTGAAAATTTAGCATGATCCTTGCCAATTCCCTTTACTGCATGCATGATGCAATGAATTTCTTGTCCAGGACGCATTTTACAGATGAGAATATCTTTTTCCAGAAGTCCCAGCTGCTCTTCTCCCTTTGGGTACAGCTCTGCTTGTCTGCCAATTGGTGCCCACTTGATGTCTCGACTATAAACTGGAAAAAAAAATTATAAAATTCAGAAATCGTACAAAAAATCGTATTCATCAGTTTTTCAAACATCTAAAAGCTGTGTAATATTTTATAACAAAATTATAGAGAAATGTGATTTTTAGAATTTGGTTTTAGTTAGAGGAGAGATTTTTTTTTTATTTTTGGGATTCTCCTCACCATTACTATTCCGGAAAATGTCCTCAGGTCTCTTTGAATCTTTTGGAGCATGAGGATTCCACGTGCAAGTGACTTTCATCTCGTATCTGAGGGTGTCCTGATCACTGGGCTCTTCCTCAGTGTTCCCAGAGTTCGTCGGGTATTCGAAGAATTTTGGATCTGCCTTAAGAGGTATCAGGCCCAATCTAAAACCACAAAAAATCCATTACAAACGATCGAAAAATTGAAAATTATTCATGAAATTTCAAGTTAAATAATTTGAAATTTCGTACAACTCTCAATTTGCAAGAAATGAATTTCCTCTTTTCCACTAGAAACAGGTAATTTCTTTGATTATTCAATTAAATTACATTTTTTCGGTCTGTACAACAAAAAAATTAATGAAAATAATGAAAATTCAGGGAATTATTTGCGTAAATTCCTCGTTAATTATATTGACTCAATTAAGAAGCAAGAACATATAAAATAAATTAAAAAATTGTTCAATTTGAAGTTTTCCAAACATTGAGAATTAAGTTGGAGTTGTTACCGAAAATTGTACAAATTTCTTAGTCTAGTAAAAATATCCATCGACTCTTTTTCTCGTTAATTACGGGAGCCTGGGGTGAAAGCGCCACCCCTTAAAAATCTTTGAATTCTTTATTTCACTCCCTTTTTTATGTTTGAACAAAGGTAAATAAACAAATGAATTATTTAACAATTCGTGGATTGATAGACTGTCAATTCCAATTTTCCAAAAACAACAGAATTTCTATTTTTCATAAACATTCTGTGATTCGAGAAAGAGATTCGACAGTTTTAGTTGCTACTACTAAATAAAAATTAAATAAAAAATGTCAATATTATGCCAGACTCCCCTAAATAGAAACTGGCTTTACCTATGTGCGAGGACCTCATCCTGGATTAAACTCGTGTTATTGAGAATGAAAACCTTTTCAATAGCCATCGAGGGAACTTCACTCAATAGAATCCGACGAAATGCATTGGCAAGTGCAGCTGAACACCCGATTACGTCAAACTCCAACTCTAGTCCATCCTCTGACAGTTTCACAACATTCACCTTAATTTTCTGCATAAAAAGTAATTAATAATTAAACGGTCGAGTTTTCTTTCAGAACTTCTGATTGTCAACTTGCCTTCATGTACTTGTTAATGTTCCATTCTCCTTCCACTTGGAGGTTAGTAAACTCTGAAGCCTAAAAAATTGTTATTTAAGTCACAATAAATGGGTTACAATTATTTTTTGGTGTGATTTAGGAATGAAAGTCGATAACTCACGTTTGGAATTCCATATTCATTCAATATTACACGTGGATTTGACATTTTGCAGAAACTTTGTGTACGTTAGGTTAAAGTTTTGTTGATGTTCTCCACGCGGGTTCACCGCAAGATCTCGATTTTATCTGAACTTATATAAATAGATAATCATCAATAATCTATCATTGCGTGTTGCGCCCTCCCTCTCTTGAGGTACAGTACTACGATGCCACTGGGGTCACTCAAATCCCCAGAACTGAGCCTCTACTTTAGTCAATCCTCTTTGATTCGAATTATAGAAATTGAAATTTTTCCGAATATCGAGGGCAGATCAAAAGATATTTTTTAAATCTTTACATTTTTTTATTTACTTTTTCCAAAATTATTGCCATAGTTTTTTCAACCTTCAAGAAGCTACCGGCGTTTTATCCTCAGTTTAAAAAAACTCTAGAATTTGATAAATTGTATTGTGATAAACATTTATAAATTCATCGAATTATATTTTATCGATCCCCATGAAATTCTATTTATTGCACCAACTGCTTTGTGATAAAATAAAAAAAGTTTGTTATTGTCCAGGAACCGTACTAGCTGCCGCTCCTCATGCCGGTCACAACAACAAGAGCACCATCTCAAAGCAATAATTCTCACATCAATCAATTCCCAGATGGGATAGGAGTGGGAAGGCAATCAAACCACGAGAAAAATAATAAATTCATAAATTTGGTTGGTCAGTATCTTCAGAGCGTCAGTAGCACATCGTCACGCCTCGGTAACTCTAGACTATTTCCCGCTCATCAAAAAAGGTGCCAGTTCATTCAATTCAATTTCAAAATTCATCCTTAATTCTCATTCTTTCAATTTATTTAAAGACTCAATTGTTAGGATTAAACAGGAATTATAAAGCAGAACGAAAAATAGCTGAGAGAACTAGGAAGTAGAGAAGCTCGAGCAGTTCGAAATCGTTAATTTTCCCTAGTTTATCCACTAGAATAAAATCTATTTCCAATTGTTTAAAGTATTAACTGAGTTTTTTACGTTTATTTTCTATATAAAAGAATAAAATTCTACGATGGACAATAGCATCACCTGAACACGAAGACTTGGAGAGGAGTTTAATATCTCAGTCTTTCTGTTTAGGCCGTGCTGCTGTTCCTGTCCATCAATTTGAATGGAATATAATCACAATACATTAATGAAATTATTATTGTCTAATCTAATATTGATTTAGAATTCTTGAGGAGTAATTACTGCACATGAATACCCAGGCCTTGAGACAGCTTCTAATATCTCACTCTTAGTATTCATGTCATGTCGTTGCTCTTATTCCTCTGCTAACAAAAATGTCTCAGTAAATCGATTTATAATTAAAACATTAAATTAAACTAAACTTGAATTAAATTAAACATTATTTAAACATTACAAAAGGGATAAACTATATCTACAGAATATTATGAAATATTGTTTAAATTTTGTTGCTGTTTTCAACTAGTGAAATCACATCACATCAACAAAAAGACTTTGAGAATGAATTTGATGTCTCAGTCGCATTGTTCATGTCATGTAATTCTTGTTATTAATTAATCTCGGAGAGAAAGCATGGAAGGGAGGGGGAACGGTCGTCATTAATCGGAAATTGTTGTTTACACAAGAGCTAAAGTATTACATGATTATGAAGACTCGAGAGTTTTCAAAATCTAAGTCTTTGTATTCCTGTGATTTTATTTCTCTGATTCTTCTCAACAACAAGTCGCGGAAAATAGTTTAATTAACGTTCTAGAACGGTGGAATAATATAATTGAGTTAAATTGAAATTCTACATGAATCTTTCGTTTGAAGACAATACGGATTTTTTTTACGGTTTTAATTTCTTTTTTTGGGGCATTATTACGGTAATTCTTGAAGGAATCGATGAACTATCGATTTTTGAAGGTAGAAATTAAATTATCCAAATCATCATGGGAATTCTATAAAAATTAATCAACATTTCTAGAAATTTAGACAATATTTATATTTTGATAATGAATTAAATATTAAAACACGTTCAACTGATTGACGAAATTTTCTCGAATGTTAATATTTAAATCCAAAAATTCTAATCTCTTCAATTCTGCATTATATTGAAGAAATTTCTTGAATTTAATGTTGAACTGATAGGATTTGAATTTATATTGGGTCACTACGAAATTATTCCCAATAATTCTCATCAAAAGAATTTTTTTTCGTTGACTCCGTCTTCAGGAATTCTAAAAATCGAATTATCCGCAAGAAGAAGAAACTCGTTCGTTGAAAATTCGAATAATATTATTGATATTGTTTTTACTTTTCATGAGATCATCGAAGACTGGCTCTATACCTTCGCATGACCATCGGATTATCTTATTAAAGTACTGGAATAAATTGATTGAAAGCAACGGATAATAAAGTCGGGGCTTTATTATTCGAATGTTTACAATCGATTGGAATTTTGAAAGAGAAATTGGAAAGAGAAAATTTATATGGAATGGTCTTACGTGTGGATTCCAGATATTCATCGTTAATACCGAAAAATTAAATGGAATTGTGTTGTGTAAACAAGAAGACTCAGGGGTAGCTTTGAAAGCCTCAGCCTTCCTTGTTTACACGATACCGTTTCTGATATATCAACATCAAAATCGATGGCGATGAAAGAAGAAAAAGCAAAATTTTAGTTCAGTAAATGAATTTTTAGGTAAATTGTATATTTATATTTCCATTTTTCTGTTTGAAGTGCTAGAAAACATAAAAGAGCATATTTCAGGCCCCTCTGTCTGTCTTCGATTCCGAGATATCGAAAAAATTTATTTTTTAAGCATTTATAATTTCATTACAAAATTAATGATTCAGATGAGAATTAATTCGTGAGGAATAACAATAAATCAATATAAATCAATTTTTATTCTCTGATGTAGTGTATATTTTGTGAATACATAATTTAAATTAAAAATACAATTAACAATGTGCAATTTATTGTTTTTCGGAAATAATGAACTATGAATATTTGAATTAATTTGAAAACAACGTCGAAACTTAATATTTCATGTTTTTTCTTACCGGGATGAACGATTGTTAATTAATAAGACGTTTGGAGATCATTATTATTGAATATAATTACTTGATTAATTAAGATCGTCTACTCTCATTTCAAATTATCGTAGGCATTTGTAAAAAATATTTTTGAGAAAAGTTTTGTATTTTATAACTTATTAATATAAATGTGAAATTATAGACCAGTATTATTATTATTATTATTATTATTATTATTATTGTTATGTGTGAAAGAATTTGACTTTAAAATAATTAGCACTTTCTATAACATTATACGTTCAGTCAAGACTTCCTCGTCAGTTCCACGAGGTTTTCCGTAAAAAAACCCATGTCATTACTCTATACTATTACAAACTAATGAATTAATTAAGAAATACCTATCATTAAGTATTAATTCGATTATAAAGATCTTAAAAGGCTATTGCGGTGGAAAGTTAATAATTGAATTCTCGCCGGAAGTAATGGAAAAAATCTCAACAGTTGCTCAACAGACTTTAAATATTTATAAAAACTAAATTAAATTTGTTGAAGATCAATAATTATGACAAAGAAAATAAAATGATGACGTTATTCGTACTGGATTTAAGGCCCGGGTGGACTGTCTGGAAAAGATAATTTACTCCAAAATTGGGACTTCTAATTACTCCGTCAATTAATCGTTTTTTTAAATAATTGTTAGCTAGCGTTCTAGCGGTTGTCAACAACTAGGCCGCTAGCTAACAATTATCGGAAAAAAACGATTAATTGACGGATTAATTAGAAGTCCCAATTTTGGAGTAAATTATCTTTCCCAGACAGTCCATCCGGGCCTTAAAATCATAATTTCAAACGCGTAATTTATCTTTCTTTTTCTGTCAAGACAATTGTCGGCAACATGTGCTAAGAAAATTAACTAATTAATGCAATGTGCGGTATTTAATTGATAATTCCACTAAAAACGATCACCGGAGTGAATCTCATCCGTTCTATGCATAAATCTATTTTAAAAAATAATGGCCATTAATATTTTGTTAATTTGCAATTCCCCAGATTACTGTGAGATAAAATTCCTGAGAAAAAAATTTTCTTAACCTAATTTAATTAAATCTACTGATTTTTTATAATTAATTCATATAATAGGGGTGGTAGTAAATAGTGAAGTATAAAAGAATTACGATAAATGTCCGGTTTATGTCATCCAATAGTCTCATAATAATTATCAGAAACTTGTATGTTTATAAACTATTTTTCACTATAACTAAATCGTTGGCAATTATTCATCAGAAGTTTCAGAAGGAAATTATGAATTTAATTAATAATTGGTTAAATGCTAATTTGAGATATATATTATTGAGTATTCAATACTGATTCTATAATTAATACTTATTAATTAGTTAATTAAGTATTAATAGCAAATATTATTATCAATTTCTGAATCATTAATGAATTAATCTATTAAGATTTGTGCAATGAAAATTCTGAATGTTTGTTAAAATTCATTTGCTCGATTGATAAAATTGTTGAAATGTTTTTTCTTTGTTTAAATTTAGGAATTAAAGCGAGAATCAATATTAATAACTACCAGTCTTATAGTTTCAGCAAAGATATGAAATTTGAAATTCGGAAAATTCTTTCTTCAATAATCTCATACCTCGTACGACCTTTACCCTAACTCTGCTTGATTTAATTACTCATCGCAGGTGATGTGAAAGTTGATATGTAGTTGATAAAGTGCATAAACAAATTATAATTAAACGAAAATCTAAATTCATTAAAATTCTTCCTCCAAGATTCCACACATGAACAAATTCAATAAAAACTCCAGAAAATTCATTAAACAATTATTAGAATTCAATACGAATTCTATCGGAAAACTTGAAAAATTATTAATTATGTTTATTATTATTAAATTTAATTTGGGAAAAATAAAATAGAAGCTTACGAAAAATTAATGGTGAAGCATTTAAAAAGTTAAAATCTCCCCAAATAAATAGATATGGCATAGATTGAGTGCAAAATACGAACAGAATTGTTTAATACTTTTTTATAATGAATTCACTAGATTTTCTATTAAATTTTTGAATGCGCAGCATCTAAACTATATTTTTTATCGCAATACCTAGTCTAGTAGGTATTTATATAATCTACCGTACAACTATTTAAATTATTAATTATTTATTAATTATTATTTATAGCTAAGTGTGAAATGGGCATCAAACGACAGCGCGAGGCAATATCAGAATGATGAATTATTACTGCAGTCCAATTTATGTGATTTTCCAACGTACTGTAATTAATTGCTGAGAGTTTATCTCAGTAATTATCAGCACGGAATCTAAAACTACTTAAAACTATAATTCTCTTCTAGATTTGGCTGTAACAATTTTCCTAGGGAATTGTCTAATGGAAAAGCCGCGAGTAATGAAAAAACATGAAATATTTGGGATTGGCTCCTACTTATTTTATACATTAGAAAAATAATCTATCGACTATTCTAGATGAACACAATCTGGTGAAATCGTAAGATGTAATTGAAACTGATAGAGAGGTGGACTATTCCTGGAGGAATCCTTGGGTAGAATTCATTCAGAACATTTCCATCGGCATTTGTTTGGAAAAAAACAAGAAAGATTTTTTTGTTGTTGTTTTACCTTGCATTGTTATTAGACCTGGATTTATTCTCGTAGAAAGTTTTCAGTGAATCTAGTGGAGTCTATTGTAGAATTCCCAGTCATCCATTGGTTCTTTATGAATTTGTAGTTGAAAAGTCCTGTAATAATAAAAAAAAATTATATCTAATTTTAATAAGAGAGAATAAAATGGATAGGAAATTAATAGAACAGATTTTAAAGAAAAAGTGAATGACATTCAATTTTTAATAGAAATTATTCTATTGAAATATTTTCTCTAGAATTTCTTTGACCTGAATTGTTTATTGAAGATTTTAAATTAATTTTTCCTGAGTTTTGAGTTTAGTTGAAAAAATAGGATTCGTAATAGATTCTTTTATTTTATTTATCCTTCAAAAATTTTAAGTACTCTTTCAACTTTCTGCACGAGATAAATGTTAATGAAATAAATTATATTGACGAATCGAAATTCGATTCATTTTTTCTCTAGAATATTTTATATTGAAAATATAAGAAGAATCGGGAAAGGTTAATAGAAAATTTAATAGAAATCCAAGAAAATTGTTTATCGAATTCATTCCGTTTTTCTGTTAATTTTTTTTTGTCTGAGGAGAATCTTTTATTCTATGAAAATAAATCATTAACTTACGTTTTATAACGGGTAACCAATACCATCACTTGGCGTATTAGATCGGTAATTGCAGGAAAAATGTCTATAGTTTTCGGGAAAATGGGTGATCATCCTCAGTTCCTCGGTTTCAATTACTCTCACAAAATTCGGAATTCCACATTTGCCCAGAGGAATTCTCGCATCCTTAAAAATTCCAAATAGTTATCAAACTAATATTCATACTATCAATTATCAATCTAAATAAATCATTGAATAATGAAAATTTAAGAAACTAATTACTTCCGTTTATAGCATGCATGCAATTATCTTTTTCTGATTAAATTTTTCATGGGTTTTCCTTTAATTATAGTCTGTAATCCCCCAGATTAAAATACGAGAAAGTATTTTGAATGAAATTCTTCATCATTTGGATAAATTAAATAGAAATTCAATTACAGAAAACGCGCGTTATTCCTTCGATTTCCGTGAAAATTGCGAAGAACTCTCGATATATTTTATCTTATCGGCAGTAGAATTTTTCTAGACAATTCCTCTCTATACATGTGATTAAATGTGTCACAGTTTTGAGAAAGGAATGACGAGAAAATGTCCGGTAATATTGATGCCTCCCCAGAAAATATTTAATTTACCGTTAAATCGATTCATCAAATCAAAATCGATTCTCATCCAATTCTGATCTTACCAATTTTCCGTATAACTCCCAAAAAATATAGACAATACGTTGAATAATTAAAAATTAATTTACCAGTGCTCCATTTTGATTTTGAAAACGCGTCGCTCCGGATGTTTCTGCAAGTGTCTGCACGAGGTGTTTCCGCCATGCATCAATTTTCCAAAAATCGGTTGATTTCAAATAATTCCAAATTACCGGAGATTTTCCGTCCAATATGAAAATACTAATGCACATGAGTTATAGGTGCATATGTTAAATGCTTTTCATAAATACTTATAAAAAACTTTGATGTTGCAGGTTCTAGAAGCGTCCCCGAGTCTTCAGGAAAGACTCGGGGCACTCTGCAATGCACTGCTGGTCACAAGAACACGAATTTTACTGTAGCCCCACGATGAATCACATCTGCAGCAGATGGGGGATGTAACTGACCACCCTCCACTCTGGAATTCGTCCTAATATAATGGGAACCAATGGTGGGGGCAACCCAAGGTTGAGAAAACTGACCTGGACTTCCAACTAGAAATTGTCTTGAAAATCTCCTTAATATTTCATTCCACCGATCGGTAGTAATCCCTGTTTCACTCATATTCCTCTTCACAATTGTTGATATCAATTACGATTTGATAACGTTAATTTTTCGATTACTTCATTAATTTATTCGTTCATAATTTTCAAAAATTATTTTTAATAACTGATCGGTCGTTAATTGGGATTATATTTTATGTTTCATTCTGCTATTCTCAACTAGATTTTTTCGTCAATGATTAATTAGACTCCAACTCAATTCCTTCATTTTTATATTATTTTTTGTTATTATTTTTCTTTTTATGAATTGTATCAATGGAATAATTCAACTTTTTTAACAAAAAATCATACAAAATATGAAAATTCCCGATTTTCAGTTAATTGTTTGTCGATCAACTAAACAAATACAAATTGAGGAATTACTGCGGAATAGTAGACAGGCCAAAAATTTATTTATCGAGAAATAAACGATGAAATAATATCGAATTCATTGTTATAATTTTGTACTTTGAAATCATTCACACGAAAATTATTCACTCACTCTCACACTAAAAGTGAAATTACCAGTTATTCCAGGGATATTTTATAATGAGAAATCAACAGAACAAAAAAATGGAATATATACAAATTTATTGATATAAATTCCACTGAAACTAGTAATTAATGTTATTTATATTTTCCATTTGAAAAAGTTGTCTTTTTTGTTCTCTCTATTTCAATAACTCCTTCCAAACAGAGTGAAGAATTTCGGTCTCTCTGAACATTTGGGGTGAATGCATTTTAGTGACTCCAGAGACACTTTGGGTTGATCGAATGGAATGCAGAGACTCTTGGCTCCCATTGACGGTGCCCCAGGCTCTTCATCGTCACTCCTTGAAAACACGAAAATTACATCAACTCAGGAAAGGAATATATTATTATACACAATATTTTTATAATTATAAAGGATTATAAAGAATTATAAAGAATTATAAAGAATTATAAAGACTTAAAAACTTTTCCAAACAAATTACCTTGTGCTGTCAGCTTTAATCTGCTCCTCACAACTTATACCTCCACAGAATGGCGAGAGCAACAGGTTCTTCTGATCCAACAGTTTGCAGAATTCGTTCCAATCATTCGTCTGCTTCACGTGACTTTGAAGCTCAGACTTTGCCCTGAGACATAATATAAATCATTCAATCATCAAATTTGGAGAATATTTAACAAACAATGCGTTTTTCCATAACAAAATCATTTTAGAAGGATTAATATCTCATGAAGTCTCGGTAATTATGAATTCCTAGTGAACATATCAATGGATATTTCCCGGAGGAAAATTTCTTCCTCCAATGACTCAATTATAAGTTTTTTTATAATTACACTCGTTGAAAAAACGTTCTTGAGGAAAATGTTTAGCGAATAAAAATATTCTAGTTGAGTAAACTGGGGATGTTTATAAAAAATGATTGAAAATGATCTGTAAAAAATATTATTGCTCCTGAAATAATTTATCGCAAGAAGATTGATTTCCTTGAAAACTTACGTGGCAAACATATTGTTATGAATCTCCTCCAGCAACTGTTTGATCTCGTTCTTGGCCTGGGTCCTCTTAGCCGTCGTCTTGGCGGAAGTATCCCTCCTGACGAGTGTCACCTCTCCCTTCTCCAGATCCTTGAATCCCACCTCAATCCTGACAGGAACTCCCTTCAACTCCCAATGATTGAACTTCCACCCTGGACTATAATTATCCCTATAGTCACCTCTGACCTTCACTTCCCCGCCTTCCACCAGCTCTGCCTCCAGCTTCTTGCACTCCACCATGAGCCTCTCCCTGTCCTCAGCACTAGTGGCGGCAGTGATACCACAGGGCACAATAATTGCCTGAACCTTCGCCACCCTGGGAGGCAGAACCAGCCCCTTGTCATCTCCATGGACCATAACCATCACCCCAATGGTCCTCGTAGTGATGCCCCAAGAGTTTTGATAAACATATGTCTTTTCACTTCCCTCCTCTGCTCCCTCCACCAATATCTCAAACATCTTGGAGAAGTTCTGCCCCAGGTGGTGACTAGTGCCTCCCTGGATAGCCCTTCCACTGGCCGATATGTAAGCCTCAACTGTAGTGGTATAATCTCCACCTGCAAACTTCTCCTTGTCACTCTTCCTTCCCCTGACCACAGGAATAGCAAGTAAATCCTCATAAATCTGGGCATAAAGATCCAGAATGACGAGCACCTCTTCATCGGCCTCAGGTTTTGTCAGAAAAGCTGAATGTCCTTCCTGCCAGAGGAACTCCCTGGTCCTGAGGAAGGGCTGGGGATGCTTGAACTCCCACCTCACGACGCTGTTCCATTGATTTAATTTTAAAGGAAGATCTCTGTGAGACTTGAGCCATTTGGCATAGAATGGGTACATCACAGTCTCAGATGTTGGTCTGATGGCGATTGGCTCGGCTAAATCGGAATCTCCACTTTTTGTCACCCACGCCACTTCAGGGGCAAAGTCAGCGATGTGATCCTTCTCACGTTCCAGAGCAGCTTTTGAAACGAACATGGGAAAAGCGCTGTTTTCCACTCCTAATTTCTTAATTTCTCCATCGAAAAAGTCTCTGATCGCCTCCCACACGGAGAAACTCCAGGGTCGGAGGATGTAGCACCCGGAGATATCGGAGTATTCGATCATTTCGCCTTTGGTGATGACCTGGGAGAACCAGTCTGGAAGATTCTCATTTTTCTTAGCCTCGAGTCCTAGACGAGTTCCTGTCTTCGAGGGCTCTTTCTTCTCTTGCTTTTTGTCGACCTTAGGTTTATCTTTCTTGGGCTTCTCCGATGGTTTCGAGGTCTTCTTACTGGTGTCTGCTGGTGGTTTCCAATCCTCTCCAGTTGCTGTCTTATATTCATTCTTCAGCTTGAGTAGAGTTTTCACTTCGTCGTCGATGACGCCTTTCTCTGCTTTTTTCGATTTCAGTTGACGGATTTTATCTCCTTGCTCAGCAATTTGTCGGGATAATTCGTCAGCTTTATTTGATGATGGCTCGGCCGATGGAGCCGTTGGAGACCATTCTTTACCAGTTGCTGATTTGAACTGGGACTTCAGAGAGGAGAGCAATTTGATTTGCTCCTCGATTTGATCGGCTTGTTCTTTGATCTTTCGAGAAAGATCGTCAGGATTATTTGAGGATGATGAAGCAGTGGATTGTGGGGCCTGGTTGGGCTTCTTTTCCTTTCTTGAAGCCTCTTTGTAGTTCTCCTTCATTGCTATGAGGTGCTTGAGATTTTCTTCCACTATGTCCCCGTCAGGTTTTGCGGTTTTCAGGGCCGGCACCGTGTCACCTTGGTCTGTTCCTTTCTTGTGGGAAGTCACGAGATCCTTTGAGGCGGATGATGATACTGGGGCTTTTACCCCAGGCTTCCAATCACTCCCAGCTATTTGTTTATATTCAGCTTTCAAAGCCAGTAGTTTCTGAACTTCAGGATCAATTACACTTTTGTCTGATTTAGCTGATTTCAAGTCACGAATTTTATTCCCCTGGAGTTCAATGCTCTTTATTATCTCCCCCAGGTCTTTGGAAGAAGCTGGTGCAGATGATGATGCTGGAGCTGTTACTCCAGGCTTCCAATCACTCCCAGCAATTTGTTTATATTCAGCTTTCAAAGCCAGTAGTTTCTGAACTTCAGGATCAATTACACTTTTGTCTGATTTAGCTGATTTCAAGTCACGAATTTTATTCCCCTGGAGTTCAATACTCTTTATTATCTCCCCCAGGTCTTTGGAAGAAGCTGGAGCAGATGATGACACTGGAGCTGTTACTCCAGGCTTCCAATCACTCCCAGCTATTTGTTTATATTCAGCTTTCAGAGCCAGTAGTTTCTGAACTTCAGGATCAATTACACTTTTGTCTGATTTAGCTGATTTCAAATCACGAATTTTATTCCCCTGGACTTCAATGCCCTTTATTATCTCCCCCAAGTCTTTGGAAGAAGCTGGAGCAGATGATGATGCTGGAGCTGTTACTCCAGGCTTCCAATCACTCCCAGCAATTTGTTTATATTCAGCTTTCAAGGCCAGTAGTTTCTGAACTTCAGGATCAATTACACTTTTGTCTGATTTAGCTGATTTCAAATCACGAATTTTATTCCCTTGGAGTTCAATACTCTTTATTATCTCTCCAAGGCCCTGTGAAACAACCGGAAAAATCGACGTGAAAAATGATATATCGACGATATTTTAGTGAGTGTTGACACATATGGAGCAATAAAACAGTTAAAAGTTCAACGTGGCGAGTGAATCGACAACTGACACAGCAGTCACCACTGACTACAGAGAAAGTATTTTACTCCCACCCTCGACTCCGTCGGGTTTAAGAGGTGGGGACACACGAAAGGAGTCAGTTACAACGAGGAAAGGAAGTTGATTCAAGATATGAGATGATGTAACTCGAGGAAAACATAAAAAATACCTTTTTGCTTGAACCGCCAACGGCAGCATTTTTTTTCACTGCTGGAGGAGCTGCTGATGAAGCGGTTGAGGCGACGTGTCCATCAGGAATGTGAAAAAGAATCAGGGGCTGCTCACGACAGGAGAAACTTGTTGCTGACTTATAAGGAACGTCACAACGGAAAAAGCCCTTTCGTTGGAGCTGAATTATCTCACCCTTTTTCACACGTTTCAACTCGAATTCTCCAAGAAGTTTTACTTCTTTCTAGAAAAATAAATATCAAATTCTACATAGAGTCAATCCCACGTCGAATCAGTGATTCGATTTTATCAATTATTTTTTCCGAAGTCTTTCATCGTATGATAAAGCTCCAGTTAAACTTCTGGCCTTGAAAAATTCTTTTTGACAGAGTTATGATTTTTTTTGTATGTAATTAAATCTAATTATTAAATCAGTTTAATGTTGATTAAGAGAATTCAATATTTTGGATCAAATAGTTGATGAGTTTGTACATAAATAACAGGGATAACACGGATTGTTATGGATTTTATTTAAACACAGAATTACTATTTTCCAAAATATGACACGTGAAATTTCACACATTATCATCGATAACTCTCGATCAAATGGATGGAATTGAAAAATTCAAAAAGCATTATGAGGAAGTCGTTGAGACCTTTAAAATTTTCCGCAATATATCCGCATATATTACGCCAATAGCTACGATAATTAACAATAAATCGATATTTTGCGACAAGAACAAAATGCGACAGAACAAAAAATGCTATCCAAAATGGTATATTAATATTCGTTTGCTAATCGTTTGCTTTGGAAATATAAAAGAATTAAAGATAAATGGAAAATTAAAATCACATTTTAACACTCAACATGCTCCTTTCCCAGTAATAAAATAGTACTCACCCTCGTATCTTTAGCCACGAAATCCTTAAAATCATCATCTTTTCCCAGAACAGGTTTACTGATGATATGATCAAAGTAGACAGCATAACAATTGAGCAACTCTTCAGCGGAGACTTCTTTAGCTGGACTCTTGGCAGCCAACCACGTGAGTTTCACTGTATTCTTATAATCTTTATTATCAATATTCAGTTTAGCATTGACTGCCGTTATGACTCCATTCTCCTTCTTGATGGCCTCAATCATGAGATTTCCCCAATTGATGAAGGTGGCATTTTGCCCTTCTGTAAGGGTCTCAGCATCAGTTCTCTCGATTAGCACCAATGGACCAGTTTTCACTTCCTTTGTGCCTCGTGATGGATCCTTGGGATGATTCTGAACAGTTAATACCCCTTCAATGGCTCCACTGACATGAACTGGGATGAGTTCATCTTCATTTAATGCAGTATATCTAAGAAAAGGGTAAAATGAATGAAATTATTACCTTTTCCAGTTTAAAACATTGATTTTCTCCACAAAAACTTTATAACAAAAAATTATACTATTCTATTCAATTAGAAATATTCTCAATTGAAAACACTGACTCATTTTTTTGAACCTAACTAATTTAGGTAAAATAAATTCCTGAAAAAAACCTACCTGACGGCAACAGGATCGACAACTTTCTTATTAATACTCCAGATTTTGTCCCACTCCATGAAAACAACGGATCTAGAGCTGCCCTGAGAAATGATGAACTGTTTCAGGCCCTCGACGGTCATTCCCCTCCTGAGGATACCCCTGACTGTAGGAAATCTGGGGTCATCCCAGCCATCGACAAGCCCCTGGTCGACAAACCAAGTCAATTTCCTCTTGGATAAGACAGTATTCGTCATATTCAGTCTGGAATATGCCCAAACGTGCGGCTTCCTCAAGCCCAGGGCCTCGATAAACCAGAAGAACTGGTCATCCCTATCATGGTACTCAGTTGTCCTCAATGTATGTGTGACGTTCTCCACTGCATCCACAATGGGACAGGCGAAGTCGTAGGTTGGATATACCTTGTACTTTGTTCCAGTCCTTGGATGGGGCTCAGGCTTGCATCGATAGATCGTGGGGTCTCTCATACACCCATTGGCAGATTCATAATCTATTTTAGCCCTGACACAGCACTCCTGACCTCTCTTCGATCCTTTCTGCATCTCTTTCCACAACTCCAGGTTCTTATCCACTGGATTGTCACGATTTGTTGATGGCAATCTGTGAGGATAATGGAGATTAGAATTGATATTGGAATCATCTGTAAAATCGAAAAGGAGTTGTCATTAATTGAGGGGAAGACGAGGGAAGACAACCAACAACCAACCAACAATACAACCAACTGATGAATTAAATTTACACATTTGAGATTGAAGTCAGGAAAAAAATCAAATTAGATAACAAACCTCTTCTCCCGGAGCTCCTTCATGGTTTCCCCTGGGGTGTCATCAACAAAAGCCTTTCCCTCCTTAATAAGTTTTTCGCAATATGTCAACATCAACTCAAAGTAATCAGAAGAATGGGTGAACCTGTCGGCCTTGACCTCCAGAAGTCGCAGGTCCTCCAGGATAGCCTGTTCGAATTCTACGGTTTCTTTGGCTGGATTTGTGTCGTCGAATCTCATAATCAGTTGTCCCTTGAAGGTTTCTGCATAATAGGCATTCAGAAGAGCTGCTTTAGCGTGTCCAATGTGAAGAAAACCACTAGCTTCTGGTGGAAAACGCACAACGACTTTCCCCTCTTCAGCCCCAGGAAGTTCGATGAATTTTCCTTCTTGCTTCCTTCCTTCCGGTGAAGGGATTTCTTTTGAAGCCTTGGCGATTTTCGAGGACGCTGATACGGCTTGGGAGGGTTTTTTCAGAAGAGACGAGTATTTCTGGACTGATGGCAGGGACGACATCTCGTTGAACCACCGGTTGACGTTGCAGTAATTCTGGAAGTGTGCAGGAGTGTAGAATAGTCCCCTCAGGGTTGAAAACACGAAAATATCAGCGAGAGTCAGACGTTTCGAGACCAGCCAGGTTTTCGTCACTAGGGCCTTGTCCAGGAACTCAATGGATGTAGGCCAGGATTTAACAACTGAGAGGGGACCCACGGCGAAAGAAATCCAGCTGTCTACTTGGGTCCTATCGATGTTGTTGTCACCACCTGCAGAAATTTGTTGATTTATTAATAGATAAAAAGATTCTCAATGAATAAAAATTATGTAAATCATCAAAATCCTTTTTTGCACTTGAGGTATCAGATTATCAAATTGATGTTATAGAATAATGCACTAATATTATAGAACAATCCAATTTTAAAGAAATTAGCAGTTGATTAGTACAGTAATAAATAATATTAATTTTCACATGAAAAATTTGATATTTATTGATGGAATTTGATTGTTCGATCCGAAGTAATGACAAAAAATGTCAACATCTGAAAAAATTGATAAGAAAAAACGTCGGCTTCATGAATTGTGTATTTTCAACGCGTTGCGTGTTATAAATAAATTGAGGCCTGTTCCCACGATGTGTAAAATTAATTGAACGAATCAACCAGACAAAATGTTGAATAAATAAATAAAAAATAGTTTAAAACTCACCATAAAGATCGGTATCAACAGTTCTGGCTAAAAAGCGTCCAACATCAGTGCTAGTTTCGCAAAAAACTTTTCCATCAATCAACAATTGAGCACTGATTGGAGATTTCAATTCTTTTGATAACTCAACAGTAATTTCCCCCTTTTTCGCTGAATTGACGACTTCTGATGCAATCAGGGCTCCTAAAGTAATAAAAGACATAATTATGGTCCAACCATTTATCATTAGCCGAAACAACTTTCTGGCGATAATTTTTTGTGATTTTCTCACCCAGTGGGAGGTCCGCAACACTCGCAATGAGTTTCATCGTTATTTCAATAATTTAAACCTTTCAATAAGGGGTTTTCCTTTTTAGAAGGAGAAAATATGGAGCTCCAGAGGTTAGGATTCCACCATGTGCCTCACGCCGACCTCTGGAAATTGTGATCAAGACTTTTTTTGACAGACAATCAAGGAAAAAAAAGAAAGAGACAACTAGCGGCATCTGAAATGTTGTTGTGATGGCCTTGAAGTTAGAATTATCCGTTCACCGGTTTGTAAACCAATAAGAAACGATTTGATACAGGTTTTTGTCATTATTGTTATCTTGGCGTTGATTAAGACATTCAAGAGTGATTAGACGTTTTTACTTCGTGTTGGATTCAGTGGATTAGATTATATTCAGCAGGTTTCTGGATTGAAGATCCATTCTTTTATTTGATTAAATTTCTGGGAAAGTTGGGGATCATGGTGACTGGAAGGGCTTTGCACTTCGTTTTTAAGATTCCAGATCGACGACTGACAGCTAAATTTTATCGAGAAATATTGGGCATGAAAGTGAGTTTTTTCAAATTATTTTTTGGTTATTTGAGAGAATTCTGTGGTAAATAATGACGTATGATTCTGATACAGGTGTTGAGACACGAAGAGTTCAGTGATGGATGTGAAGCTGCTTGCAATGGGTGTGTATTTTTTATTTTATTTGCAAAAAATCCATTTTTACGAACGTACTCGACAAAAAATTCATCTCTCAATAATAAAAAATGAAACAAAAAATGATTAAGAAATGTTGAGGTACTGTAGACCCTTACAAATTTATTCTTAATTTTTGCATTCTTAATTTTAAACATTTTCCCATGTTTAAACAAACATAAATAGATAAATAAAGTAATTAGCAATTAATCCTTTTTTTGTAAATGGAAAAATCAGTCGTAAAAATGAGTCGAATTTATGTAACAATTCACTTTTTACTAATCAGCATTTAATTATGATTTTAGACCATACGCTAATCGTTGGAGTAAAACTATGATAGGATATGGACCCGAGGACACCCATTTCGTCATCGAATTGACGTACAATTATGGCATAAAGAACTACGAAACGGGAAATGATTTTCAAGGAATTACGATACGCTCCAAGGATGTTATAGAGCGAGCTAGGAAAAATAATTGGCCTATGAGTGAGGAGAATGGAATTTCTGTGCTTCAGGCACCTGGAGGGTATAAATACTTCATCATAAATGAGCCCCAAGTTGCTGGCAAAGGTACATTAGTGTCTTCACTTAATTTTTCTTTCTAAATGACAATTTTCTTCCGAAATTGATTGAAAATTGTATCCAAAATCTTCATATTTTGCCGAGACGTTTAATACTTTTTTTTTCTTAGACCTTCCATTTCTTTTGCTACATTCTGTATTGTACAATGTACCTTTTTTTTTCCTGTAATTCTTTTCGATAGATGACACTAAAAATTGATAGATTCTCATTTCTGCCTGTTCCTATCCACTTAAATTCTCTTTGGAAATTCTTGAGGGAAAGATTTATTTTTCAGAAAGTCTTCAAAGGGACAGCCATAAAATATATTGAATAGAAAAACGAAAATCTGTTTTCAATGAAAATCACAAAAAAACAGGAATGTCTTTTAGAACGCAAATGAAACGTTCAGACAATTCTCTTTTCGAGTCTTTAAGGGCCGGATGTAGTATCTCCGAAAGATAATTTACTCCAAAATTGGGATTCCTAATTACTCCGCCAATTAATTGTTTTTTCCGATAATTGTTAGCTAGCGTTCTAGTCGTTGACAACCGCAAGATCGCTAGCTAACAATTATTGAAAAAAACGATTAATTGCCAGAGTAATTAGGAACCCCAATTTTGGAGTAAATTATCTTTTCCAGATAATCCAACCGGTTCTTAAATATTTATCAAACTATACATGATGGACTTCATAACTGACCTTTTTTTTTATTCAGACCCAGTGGAGAAGGTCTCACTATCAACTTCAAATCTCGAAAAGAGTATTTCTTATTGGCGAGATATTCTCAATTTGAAAGTTTATGATCAAAAGGACAAGACGGTCCTTCTGGGATTCGCCGACGACCAGGCGAAACTGGAGTTCAAAGATATTGGTAATTACTTCAAAAATGATTATTAACCATTAACACACAAAACATTTATGCAAACACAGCACGCTAATTAATATTATCTCGACGATTATAGGCTATCTATAGATCTATAGGTTAGGCTCTAAGAAAAAAAAATCGAAAGACTTTTTTATAGGTGCGATATGGATTCACAAAAAATAGTACATACATGACACATCGACTGTTTTTTCCACTCCTCAATTCTTTATTAGTAATTAAATTATTATGAATTATTTTCCGAATGTAGGGGTCTCAGTAGATCATGCAAAAGCCTATGGAAGAATAGCCTTTGCAGTTCCACATGCAGAACAGCCAGAAATCCAGAAAAAAATAAAAGATTCTGGCCATAAAATTCTAACGGATCTGATAACTTTGGAAACACCTGGAAAGGCATCAGTTCGGGTGATAATTTTAGCGGATCCGGTAAGTAAACCATCAATACAAAGGCAGTACATGAATTAACATCGAATAGTTTGAAATTGTCACATTAGCTTTGTGCATAGGTAAAAAACACTAAATTTATCTCTTGTTAATCCAATATAATACAATACAATGGTTAATAATCCTATTTAATAGACTAGTTATTTAAGTTTTATTTATTTAGATCGTGATTGCCATACGACATTTATTTTACCACTTATTCTAATTTTGTTTTGTTTCTTTTTGTCAGAAATCAATTTAAATTTAAATTTAGATAACGCAGATATTTCGGTTTTAATTGATGTACTGTTTTTGTAGTGACGACATGATCATTGGGGAAAATGCTAGAGGCGTAATTATAATGATGTTTAATGTAATTTCCTTAGGATGGCCATGAGATCTGCTTTGTCGATGAGGAAGGATTCCGTCAGTTGTCTGTACCCGACTATCCCAGCGAAAAAATTCTTGATAGATTCATCGAAAAAGATCCAACTAATTAAAACAGTGGAACTAGGTCCATTCGTTTTATTCGTGGAAAGTAAATTACAACTTATTTTCATTTTCGAGAAAAGAATGAAGTTAAAAATTCAAGAAACATCTTGAAAAATTTACAATCATAAGTGAGATATTCATTTTAAATCTATAAATTTTTGTTTATTTTATAATGTTGTAATGAATAATTGATGTTTTGAATAGAAAACTTCAAATCGAAATAGTATTGACACTTTTCACAAACAAAATGTCGAAGGCCTGGATTTTGTACTGTTTTATAAACTATCGCATATCTCAAGTAGAATTGTTTAACTACCGGATGTGAATAATCTTGCGAGATATAAAACGAAAAATCTGTTATTGCAAATAAACACAAGACAATATATTTTCATTATTAATAAATAGCACTATTACGAATCAATTTAGGATCACATCCTAATTATAAGGGGGGAGCGGGGTCCAGGGGGCGCAGCTCAGTAGCAGTGCCCAAAATTTCAGTGAATACCTCCTTGATTTTCATGTTCTCTTGATACTTTTTCAAAAATTTTGAATTTTCAAATTTCAGTGAATACCTCCTCGGATCTCCTATTCTCCTGATACTTTTTCGAAAATTTTGATTTTGAAAATTTCAGTGAATACCTCTTCAATCTT